TACAAGTCCCACAAGTGATGACCGGTGGTGGACAAAGTATTCAACTCTGGTACTTGAGTAAAAGTACTGATACTCATGGTCAAATCTTACTCAACTATAAGTAAAAGTTGCTCAGTCAAAAATCTACTTAAAGGGGCAATATCATGTAAATCAACTTTTTAAATTTTATATCATGTTATAATGTTATACTCTCATAAAAAAACATGCCCAAAGCCTTGCTTTGACTCATTCATGCATGTTTGAGAAATCCTTCAGCGTTTTTTGACAGCCATGCTGAGGAGCAAAACGACAGGTGGGGGCCAGAAACGCCTTTTGGGACCAGAGACACTGTCTTTAAGCCGAACTTCCTCATGGCAGAGCGGCGACTGAGCAGAGAGACCCAGACTTCCCTCTCCCCAGCCACTTGGGCCAGCTCGTCTGGGGGAATCCCAAGGTGTTCCCAGGCCAGCCGAGAAACATACACTGCAAAAAATGTCCACCTAACCAAGTTTTAAAGTCTTATATCCAGCCAAAAAGTCTTTTTGATCTTGTTTTGAGACTGATTTACTAAACAAGAACTGATTGTGTAAGAATAATAATCTTGTTTTCAGAATGTGTAAGATTATTTGTCTTGTTAGTCTGAAAATTTGACTCAAATTAAGTCAAAAATTTCTGACAATGGAGTATGAAAATTTTATTTGGTAAGATTCTTGAAATAAAAAAAATTGAGTCGAATCAAGTATTTCAAGAATATTTGAAATATTTTAGTGATGATACACCATCCTTGAATTTTCTTTATAAAATCTTTAGCAGAGATTTCTCAGAGCAGTTTTTATTTACATGTATAACAATCTTAAATGAGTCTAAGATACAATAAATTTTTAATTCCTTTAATGGTGCCCAATATTAAGCACATAATGAAATATGAGCCATTTGCCAATAAAAAAGGAAAAAAGTGAAAAAAAAACTATATTTTGACATCAACTGCAGTTAAATACATTTAACTGTTCTATACTGTTCAGTACTATAACTGTTCTGGGAAATCAACTGCAGTTGATTTCCCAGAACAAAATGTTTCTTGTTCAAGTTCAGCATATCTAGGTTTAACCCTAGTTTCCCATTATTATTGCCTGTATTGTTTTCTGACTTTGTTTTTTGTTCTTAATGAAAAATATACTTCATGTGAGGTATATAGAAATTTTTTGAAAAGCATATATTTGCCGGTATGCTTTATTTGCCACTGCTTTTAGTTTTGTTTAGTTATTTTTATGGACATTTTTATAAGCTAAGTAAATAAAACATCCGTTGATAAAAAAATAAAAAAATAAAAAATAATTACTAAAGTCCTCACAGGCTTTCTGAATTTTGATGCACGGCTCAAGCAAATTTCATTTCTGTGTTAATGTTTGTGTAATCATTTGTTCTGTAAATATGTGCAGCAATCAACAAGCTGTGCTGCTATATAGCAGGTCTGGTTTAGGTTGTACTTTTATGTGATACTGTGTTAAGAGCAGCTCTGGTTAGTTCAGATTTCCAGATGTTACAGCCCAATTACCCTCCAATCACACGCATGGCCAGATGCAGTCACCAAATAACGTAATGGGTCAGCGCTGGGCGCGCGCACACACACACACACACACACACACACACACACACCTACCAGATTCATACTATTGTGGTGTCCTGACAAACTGTTTGAAGGAAGCATATTTAGTAAGTATTTGAA